TAAAAAATATAATTTATTCAATAACGAAAGAGAATATAAATGTGTAACAAGCACGCTGTGTGTGACAATTATAACTTACGTACTATTGCGAAATAGTTGGAACTACTAAATGTCAAATATTTAAATTCGCGCCGCTGAATAGTTGCTAAATATACCGCAGATCCTATTTAGTCGCTACCGCTATTCACTGTCACGTCAAATACATTGGTTCTTATGGGAGAGAAGCACAGGTTGATGCACAGATACAATCGATGTATGCCTTTTTCGAGGGAAGGAAGTGTGCACGAATCAGAGACAAAAATCAAACAATATACGTACACATTTTTTAATCTTGTATCTCTTTCGGGCGATATTTGTGCATATGTTTGTAAGCACAAATGACTGCAAGTCTTGGTTAAGTGGGATTTCTTCCGACATAGTGCGTTTTTGAAATGAACCTTTTGGAATGAAAAGTAGGCCTTTTTGGGCCAAAACGCTCCACTTTTCCTTCCAAAGTCAATGAATTTTTCTCCTAAAGCCATTTCAGAGACTTTTTATCCCAAATTGATAGAATCCGAACACACCCAGGAATCGTTCACTGAATAGTTCGACTTCAACTTTGTTCGTCTCCATTGATACATAACCACCAAGGCTCTAAATATTTCTTTTACTTTAACACGTGTTAAGTCCATTTTCGTGATAGTTTCCGTACTAGTGATAACCGTTTAATTATAAATATTTCCATTAAATTAGTACGTACTTTTGCCTCATTTCGGTGTTAGCGCTAAAATCATCATTGACATTTCCGTACTATCGTGCTCTGCACTGTTTATTTATTGTGACAAATTGCGTGAAAAAAATGGAAAAAAACCGCGTTCAGAATTTCTCTGAAGAAGAGACAAATCATTTTTTCGATTTGGTCTCGGATCACATTCCACATTTGGATGGAATTGGTGAGAAAAAACCAACCAACATTCAAAAAACATCGGTTTGGGAAAAAATTGCCAATGAACTTGCCGCTCGCACCGGCTTGGTAAGTGCATCAAACTATGAATTTGAACATAAACAATGGTTTTTAATAGGTTTTAATCGAATTATAGAAGCGAAAGGCTAGTTCTTTGAAGGATAAATGGAAGAAAGCAAAATCCGCTACCAAAATGTACTACAGCCGAGAAAAAAATCAAGCGAAACGCACAGGTGGTGGTTTGCCAGATAATATCGAGAAACCCCGATATTATGACCGAGTGCTACCGATTGTTCAAATGGCAGGAACAGTGGCACTTGAAGGAATACCGCCAGTACCTTCTGATAGCGATTTTGATATAGCTAGCATCGAAAATTTTGAATACAGCGAAACAGAACAACTCATAGAAGAAGAAATTGAAGATGACAATAATACGACTTTTTCTACGGGTAATCTCGGCAATAATATCGCAATAGAAGAATCAGTCATCACCGACGATCCATTGGCAGTGCAATCGCGTCGTGAAATCCATGTGAAAAAAACACTATACAGCCGATACCTTACTGCACGTTCAACCGATACGCTGAATGAGCAAAAAAGTGAACTTCTGCAGGCCAAATAGCCGTCCAAAAATTGTTGGCTAACGACCTGACTCTCGGTGTGAAAAAAAACCGAATGCAAGTGGATTTGATGCGGAAACAGAAACGACTGGAAGAAATGAAAATAAACATCGAAGAAAAAAAGGCCCAACTCGAATTACCCAAAATCGAGAAAGAGTTGGAGAAATACCGCTCAAATGATTCAAATATCAACACAGATTAAAATGTTCTGTTTACAATAAAAACCGAAATTTATTGATGCAACCGCTTGATTTTTATTTAAATTGGTCGCCAGTACTCTTGTTTATGTTGAAATTTGAGCTGTCTTGCAATAACAAAACTAATTGATTGACTTCTCCAGAATTCATACTCATTGTTATTTTTTCATATGTAAAAAAAACCAACTCAACGAAAATATTGAACAGTCTTTGTTTGGTTTTTTAACTGGAACAAAAAATTGGAATGCGAAATTATTAACACTAACACATGTTTTGGTGCCAGATAGTCGTGTTAGTGCCAAATTATTCGGACTGCTTCAGTTTGCTTGATATTTCGATCATTACAGTTTAAAAAGTCAGGCAAGATGGACGTGAAAATATTCTTTTGTGTCGTTTTGTTGCCAGAATGCAATCGAAAAGTCGTTGTGAAAAATGGTTGGGTGGATGTCCCAATCACCGAAGAAATTACCAATTTCGGTATAAAACGGTCGCGAATTTTCAAGATATATTATTCGCCAGACAAAACAAGCGAACCTGATTTCGGGATGAAAATTTCAGCTGCATTCGATGGAACAAAAAATGCATGCTACAACGGCAATGTTCTGCGTTCATTTAGTGAGTATAATTTTTTTTCATACATTCGCACATAATTCTAGGCACAATCCATTTGAAAAAAAGGCAAATTCAATGTAAATTTTGTTTTCTCTGCATGCATTGTAAATTTCAAATTGAATATTTAAAACCATTTTTGCTTCGTCATATAATTTTTGGTTATGTCATTTTTCTACTTTCACATTAAAGGATAATTTGAATCAACAATTTTTTTCATTATTTTTTTTATTCCTTTTCAGAAAACGAAGCTACCGCACATGTCTACTTGGAGCGAAAACGTTTAGTTCCACCCGTTGATTACTCTTTTGCGAAATTCCGTCGTGATTCAATTGACATCCAAGTCGAACGTATAAATCATCTTCAGCACTCAGTGAATTTGCTGAACGAAAGAGTTGGTCCAGAGGATTTAACTGAAGACGAGATTTCGGAAGTTATCGATATTTTGTTGGATTCAGAAGGTGAAGAAGAGGAGAGCAGTCTTCCGACACCACAAACAACACGGTCCGACAACACGTGCTTCAACATCGGCCGAAACACAAACCGGTGATTTGAATCGTGACAACGATTCGATGCTCGCTCAGTCCGGTTCAGGTTAGAATTCAGTTCAAAATCTGTCATGAATACACATCTAAAAAGAAATAATTCTTTTTTTTCACTCAGGTTTCGATGGTAATACACGTCACATAGACGAAGCATTTTCCGGAAACCATGTCTTCAAGTTGAATGGGACATTTGGCGATCGAGATTATTTCGAAGTCGGAATAATTTTAAAGCGGCATGTCGTACATGTCCTACAAAGTATGAACGATCGTCCTGAATATCAGTTGAAAACTGGCGACCGCATATTTGTTAATACGTTGTTGGATCGGGTATTTACAAAAGATGAATTGGCCAGAAGCAGCGTATCGGGAAATTCTTCTCACGGAATATCTCACGAGGCTTTATGTGCAAAAAAGTTGAGATTTATTCAAGGTTTGTGCCAGTTTTGAATACTAAACTGATTTTACCCACTGATTTTCTTACGCCTGACTTGGAAATTGCAATGATAATATAAATGAATCTAATTATTCTGCTTTTTTTCTTTGCAGACTTGTTCCGCATTCGGATCAACGACGCACCTGACTCAGCAGAAAGAATTGGTGCATTCAGGGAAATCGTCAACAAAAATGCTACAATGCCCGACCGAAAAACAATTGAAAATCTTCAGTTCATATCTTAATTTTTGTCCATTTTCATTATTTTTTTGCGTGATGTGAATTTTCATACAAGTCTGAGTTTGTGAACGGAAGATTTAAAGAATTTCGTGATTTTTTTCTATTTGGGACAAAAAATTGTGCTTATACACATTCAAAGGTTTGTTGCGTTAATATGCCAATATTTTCATAACACAACTATCGGAAAAGTTAATAAAAAATTCAACGAAAGTTTCGAAACTGCATTAGATTCGCATTTTAGCATAAAACTTGAGCAGGTTTAAAAGTTAATCCGAAAACTACCATAGGTTTGAAGCCTAAAGTGATGATATAGAAAAATGCGAGCAGTTTTTAAGACTGCAGGTTTGAAAACTAAAAAAATTATTTTGTTCATAACTTATGTTTTTGTGCTTAAAAATATGTATAATTATTCATTCTTTAGAGAAAGTTTGAAGAAAAAAAATCGAGTCGATTTACAACGATGAATTCTTTTGAAATTCATAGATTATTTTGAATAAAAAAAATCCTGCAAAAAGTGTACAAATAAAATTTTCTATTAGAATCTGAATTACGATGACCAATTTTAATCTATAAGACTTTTAAGTATGTGCATTCAGAGGCTTTGTTCAATCAATTTGTCAATGCCAAAAATTACTGAATGAACGAAATATGCGAAAACAAAGTGAATTTTCATGTAACAAAATCTCTGTATTGATGATAGTATGTAGTACTCAAGCTGCTCTACAACTTTGCCGAAAATCATCTTGTTATCGCTGTTATTATCAACGCGCTTTTTCTTATCACTTTTCACGGAACTGATAAGAGATAGCGAAATAGTGTCTATGGTAAAGTTGTGGTTCTGGTCAAGTACTACAACTTCACTACAGACACCAAGTCGTTATCTCTTATCAGTTACGCGAAAAAATGATAAGAAAAAATTCGCGTTTTTCACGGTTTTCTGCGGTTTCTCGCGTATTCCGCGAAACTGATAAGAGATAACGACTTGGTGTCTGTAATGAAGTTGTAGTACTTGACCAGAACCACAACTTTGTTATAGACACTGTTTCGCTATCTCTTATCTGTTTTGCGGAATACGCGAGAAACCGCAGAAAACCGTGAAAAACGCGATTTTTTTCTTATCATTTTTCGCGTAACTGATAAAAGATAACGACTTGGTGTCGTAGTAAAGTTGTAGTACTCGACCAGAGCTACAACTTTGCTATGGACACCATCTCGTTATCTCTTATCAGTTACGCGAAAAAATGATAAGAAAAAAATCGCATTTTTCACGTTTTCACGGCTTTTCGCGTAACTGATAAGAGATAACGACTTGATGTCTACGGCGAAGTTGTAGTACATAAACTAGTCTACAACACTGCTACCCACTTCACCAAGTCGATATCTCTTATCACAGTCCAGTTATAATATAAAATAGCCATGGGGCCCTGTGGTCCCCAAAGAACAACCGCGTAACATGTTTTGCGGCAGGCTGTATTTTACACATACTCACACATCTATTGACTAGATCGAGAGGAGAGTATGTGAAAAAATTCTAATATATTTTGGAAGAGGAGAGTATGTTTTCTGATGATTCTGTTGGCGTTAAAGTTGTTGTAGTACCATCTAGCCTAAGCATGCCAGAAAATTTGGACAAAAACCCGGGCGAAACCCGGATTTTTTCACGTTTTTCTGTTTTATCTCGAAAACGGCTAGGAAAATGGTTGTTTTTTTCACCCGCTGGGTGCCAGATTCATAAAATTTTCCGCCCGATCGAATGAGACATACCTCAATTTTCCGCGATTTTCCGTTTTCCCTCTATGGCAATTTGGAAAGTGTTCCTCATTTTCAAAATTTTTTCCAGGATTTCAAATTTTCCAGGATTTCAAATTTTCCGGAAAATTTTCACGAATTCGTTTTTAGTTAATGATCATACATCCATAAAATGAAAATGGTTGGAAAATCTTGGAAAACTCGGAAAATATTCAATATTTTCGTAAAATAAAATGTACTGAAAATGACCATTTTCCTTTTCATGAATCCATATCCTGGCTCCAGGACCTTTTTTGGAAAATCTGGTCGGGCAGAAAACTTCCTTGTAACTTCCTCTCTCCATATGAACTCCACAACAATAAAGTTTCGAGACCAAAAATAGTTAGAATTCATTTAATCCGGATAAATCCGGGCGATCTGGCATGCTTAATCTAGCCTCTGCGGTCTTCACGGTTTTCGCGCAACTGATAGGAGATAACAACATGTTGTCTTCGGCAAAGTTGTAGTACTCGAGGTCTTCTATAACATTGCTGAAGATATCTATCTCTTATCTCTTATCAGTTGCACGCAAATCGCGCACATAAAAAAGCAAATTTTATATAGAACTTTTTTTTTCTTATCATTTTTCGTGCTTTTCGCGGAACTGATAAGAGATAAGAAATAACTGACTTCAGCAATGTTATAGAAGACCTCGAGTGCTACAACTTTGCCGAAGACACCAAGTTGTTATCTCCTATCAGTTCCGCGGAAACCGTGGAAAACCGCGAGGACCCGCCAAAGATGAACATACTCGCCTTTAACCATTTTTGAGTCGAAAGAAACTTACTCTTCTCTTTCATAACAAAGTCCGATGAACTTACTCTCCTCTCGATCTAGTCAATAGACATATGCATATGTTTTTTTTCATTCGTGTAGAGAAATGTTCAATCTATACAATGAGACTTAACTCCGGTTGGTTTATACACTGTTTAGTACTTTTATTCAACTTTAAAGATCGCTTGGGGCCCTGGATTCCCCAAGAACCGTCATAGTGTTAATTAGACTGAAACTAAATGACTGGAAATTGTTATCTATCGTTAATAAGCACTTCAAAATGTTCGCAAACTATTTTGTCGCGAACAGTTCCTCTGGCTAGTCGAGGAAATGGCCTAATATCCATATTATCACCTCTAGCGATTTCAACAACTTGATTTCTGTTTAATTGTCTCTCAAATTCTCTTTGGTCTATTT